TGTATCCTGGGGGCAGAGTACTATGGCAGTTGGGAAAAAGCTGCGGCACAACTCCTTAAATTCGGGGAAGAATATGCCCATGCGTGGCCGTTGCACTCGGTCATGAGTGTGTGGGAGGAGCTTTGGGCCCGCTTCACGGAAGAGTTGAGAGCGCTCGATCGAAGGGCCAGGCGAGAAATGCAAGACGAGAGCCCTAGCTTTGACCGTCTTCGGTTTTTCGCCACATCCCCTGGAGAAAATGGCGAACCCTGGCTCCGGCTGCCTCAAACTTTCGACCTTCAGGCGCCAGGAGAGTACTTCCAAACGGATATTGTTCCTCGCCAACAGCGCATGTTGGATCGTGCTTGCTGGTCAATGGCCCTCAAGAGACCGTCACCACTCACTGGCGGACGAGCTGGAGCTGAAGACATTGGCGGACCAGACAAAGCGCAACCTTCCGCTCCCAACCCTAGGAACCCACGGGCTGGAGGCAAAGGGAGTGCCCCTGGCGCTAACACTGCCGCCAAGGAACCCGCCCCCCTCCTGGGAAATGCTCTGACCAGCAAAGAGGCGGGCCGCTCCATGGATCACCGCCCGAAGGACAAAGACGGGAAGTATCTGTGTTGGGATTACTTTTCCCACCGCAAGTGCAACAAGGGAAAGGATTGCCCGCATTCGCACCACGGCAACGCACCACGCTGGGACACCCTCGATTGGAGCGTGCAGATGCAACTCTTGCGACGAGGCGGGCATCCCGCCCGTCCGAAACTCAAAGGGGACCAGGTGGACGCCACCATCGAATCCATCCGAAAGGAGCAAGCCCAGAAGCTCGAGTCCAACATTCAGGAAGGCAAAAGAGCGAAAGAGATGGCCAAGCGGACCGGGGGCCCTCCTCCTCAGGATGCCTCGACCCAGTACCGGGAAGACACCCGAGCTGGCTGGACCCCAGCGCCCGCGGCGCTAGCCAATTTTGCCGCCACTGATATGGAAGACCCCCTTGCTCGACTTATGACAGGAGAAGCTGCTGCAAGTTGGACCCTCGACCACGCGCCCCCCGCTGTGCGCACGGTCACTTACCGGGAGTCACCCGATTCAGCCGAGATCCAAGCCAAGCGTCACTGCATGGACGAGATTGACAGCAGCGGCCTTCTCCCAGATCTACCCCAGCCTCTGGGCACCTATCTGCGCAACCGGCTAACAGCCGTAAACGACCGGGCTCCAACCGCTCACGATGTTCAAGAATTCCTCGAGGACGCTATCCGAGAAGGCAGTGCCGAACTTGCTTCGGAAGCTACTGACTACCTCCATAATCACCCTGACACGCATGTCGGGTCGCGAGAGGGCCGCGGAGCATTGGGGCAATTCTCAGTACACGGCTTCGACGGGTACTCCTGGGCGACCTTTCGCTGGAGAGACGGTGACCATGCAGTCTATGACTACGGCGACCAGCTTGCGCCCGTGCATCCTGAGCTACAACCTCTGCAATGTCCCAAACCAGAAACGGAGCCCCGGCAGTGCTTCTACCTGCATGTGGCGGCTGGCCTTCTGGCCCATACCGCGAATCGTGTGCCCGCTCTCTCTGAGGTCCGCCTCAAAGCGGCAGCCTTACAGGAGGAAACTTTCCGCCTGGCTCTGGCTTGCGCGGAAAATTTGGGCCCGGAACCTGACATTTGCACTCAAGCTGAAGAAGACTTGCGCATCTTCGTGCACGACGCTCTCTTCTTCGGCCACGACAAGGATTACCGGTGTTTGGCAGCCTTTCCCCCGGCAGAGGCCGCGGAAGTCTCGTTCTGTCTCGTCCGCATGGACGCTTGGAACCGCATCTCTTGCGAAGTCATCCAGGGGGCCCACAGTCGTTCCGACCCGAAGTCTCTTATCTGGCTCCTGGTCCACCAGGGCCACATGCGGCTACTCCTCCCGGAAATCGCGACCTCTATCCCGGACAACGTGCGGATTGTCACTGCCGCTGGCTGGGAAGTCCACCTGGAAGCGGCCGCCGAGCACGGGGCGCGTCATCGCGCCCGTGCCCCAAAACCATGCCCGCGTTGCCAAGACGACCCCATGCGTCGTACCGGCGTCACCACCGGGGTGTTCGGCTTGTACCCTTTTCCAGCTGAGACGGCGGCTTTAGCTTCCCGAGCAGGAGCATCTCGGTGGGAAGTCGACGAGCCCCCCTTCGAACAGTGGACCCGCGAGGACCTGCAGGAGCTCTTCCCTGGCCAACGGCTCCCTGAGCCCGGCCAACCGCTCCATTTTCTGGGTGTATACGTTGACGCCCTCGGTTGGGACAACGCCCCGGATGTGCCGGTTGGCGCCGCCCTTTTTGTCGGTCCGGCCACTAGCCGCAGCTTCTGCAATGGCCGCGTGCGCTCTCTTCTTCGCGCAGCTCTCACTCTCTTGCGCCCTCGCCACGTTTGGGTCCTCCTGCCCCGCACGGGCCTCGGCAGCTGGCCTGAGCCTTCCGCCAGCGCCTTGGAGCCTTCTGCCCACCAACACCTGCAGTTTACGCTTGAGCTTGGTCAGCACCAGTTGAACCTGCCCGGGCACTTCACACTCGTTCACCCGTTGACCAGCCCCGTCTGGAAAGATCCCGCGGCCATCCAGCTCTTTTCGACATTTCACCGGGTTCGCCTTCCAGCTTCGCCCATTGACCCTGTGGCTGCGGCGTTTTGTGGGCCGTCCCCGGCCGCCTACTTGTGCCTGAAAACTACCTCTTCGGCGCTGGCTATCGCCGCTGGGTCGTCCTCATCCGAGCTGCCGCATTCCTCTCCCCTCGCCTCCGTTCTTTTCGACGGCGCTGAGGCGTGTTTCGCGCCCGGCGCCGGCCTCCGACGGGCGGGGGGCGCCCCCTTCGTGGTTCAAGGGGGCGGGACTTCCTCGGGGGGGGAGGGGCCTCTTCGTTCTCCAACTTGGGCAAAGACTCCCACGGCTTGAAAGGCCCCCTGGCGCCGCCGCTAGACCCGGCGGTTGAGCGGGCGACAAAGGAATATCTGGATTTCTTCCGAAACCGAGCTTTCTCCGCTGCACATTTCGCGTCTGCTGCTCAGAAAGGATCGGCTCTTCTGGCAGCAGCCGGTGGATGGCAGGAAGCCCTCAGGGCTATCCGCAGGGTTTGGGTGCAAGAACGAGGCGATCACATGTCTGGTCTGCACAGTGACTTCTTTGAAGGGCTGGTTCACCCGGCAGTTTTAGAAAGGGCGAGGCATGTAGCTATCTGGGGAGTCGAGGCGTCTGCTGACTTAGAGGAGACTACTCGGACCAAGAGTGCGCCTCACCCGAGCTTGAAAGAACACCTCGACGAAGCTGCTGCGCAACTCTGGGACGACGCCAGTAAAGGCCGTTCCCTGCTCTGCTTCGACACCGGCAAGGGCTTGGAAGGGGTTGTATCAGTCCCAATGGCCAGGGTCCCCAAGATGAACCCAGACCGCACGGTCTCTGATAAGGGTAGGGTCATCTGGGATGCCACGCCGGTGAACAGGTATTGTCACAAGTCTCGGCACCCGCCTGCGCTCCAACCCCGGCACCAGGAGGTCGCCAGAGCGATACTGTGGTGGAAGCTTCGGTACCCTAGGATCCGAATCCTGCTCAGCAAAAAGGACGTATCAGAAGCCTTCAAGTGGATCCCAGTTCGGCTTGAGGACTCCAAGCTTTTCGCTGCTGATCTTCCAGCCGAATACAGCAATACTCAGGAAGGTATCACCATAGTCTATGGGTTTTTGACCTTTGGCTGGTGCGGTGCGCCCGGAGAATACATGCACTACGCTTGGGTCATTAAACTGGCTCACGAAGCCTTCGCGCCCGAAAACTCCAGGTGGGAGGATACAGTCCCATACCATTCCTTCGTCCTCATGGACGACACGGTGCTGATCGAACCCGAGATTGGGCTGAGACCGGAAACCTCGGTGGCACTGACGGAGCATCTGACTCGTGCTGTTCTTGGGGATGCCAGCATTAACGAAGGAAAGGATTGGCTTGAGGGACGGTTGGAAACTCGCAAACTTATTTGGGGGCTCATTTACGATACCCAAACCAACACCCGAAGTCTGCCAAGTGCCAAGCTGGAAAAGGCGTATCACCTCCTGCACCTGCCTGACTTTGACAGTGGGTGCACTCATGTCCCGCTGCGCCTCATCCAAGAGTTGAGAGGCAACCAGCAGTTTTGGCTGGCGGTGCTCCCGGGCCTGAGCCCGTACTTGGGCTGTACGAATGACCTCCTCGGCCCTGCGGACCCGCAGGGCCTGGCTCGAGCCAAAGGGGATGAGAAACAACAAAGAGAGACTTGGAACCGATTTTGGGAAGCCATTGAGCTTCAACGCTTGTTGGTGGACGTCAGCGCCTCTTGGGAGGTCCGGTTCACTCACCCTCTCAATGCGGCCCTCTCGGTTTCGGAATTGCTCTCCTTCCCAGGGATGCAATCCCAGGTGATTTGGGCCTGTGGAGATGCCACTCCAGAAAGGGTGGCGGCAGTTGACTGGCACGGAAAGGTAGCAATTGTCGAGCCCGCGAGCCTTGTTTGGCAACGAATCCGCCACTTTTGCGGAGGGGAAGAGGGGACGGACGAGGGGCAGTCGGGACCGGACTCCGAGGATCGAACCGATCCCGATGACGGTCTTCTGATCTCACTCGCCGAGCTCCTCGCCGTGGTGTCACTCGCCTGCACCCGCTGGACTGCTTGGAGGGGAAAGATCGTGATCTACGCGGGGGACAACCAGAATGTTATCTCCTGGCTTGAGAAAAGGCAGGCTGGGCCCCCTGCGGCGAGGTTCCTGCTGCAGCTGCTCGCAGCTTTGGAAACTGTCGGAGGGTTCAGGCTGCATGCGAGCTATGTTCGGACCTACCACAATCAGGTTGCCGACAGCCTCACGCGTGCCGAAGCACAAAGCATTCTGGAGGAACATGAGCTCCGTAAGGTCCCGTTCTCGGAGGTGCTCTTGGGGACTCTCGACAAAGGTTGGACTCGGAGGGCCCTCCTTTGGGATGGAATGGACCATGGAGATAAGGCTGCAGCCCTACAGTTGGGGCTCCGAAGGCATCCAGAGGGTCCGAATAAGCACCCCTTTCCGCTGAAAGAAGGTCTAGTATGCGCTGAGATTGGGGAGGCCGGCCCCTATGAAATCGAGCTTGTCTCCAAGGGGCTTATCGTCCAGAGACACACCCTGGAAGAGGCAAGCCGCCGAGAATGTGCCCCGGAGCGGTATATGTGTGCCTTTTCCACCCAGGCGGCAGAGGCGAGGTGGCTACGGCTGCTCGCTTCGCCGAACTTGCTGCGAGGTGGGAGCCGGAAGGAGTCTGGGTCGACTCCATCACCTCTCATGGCCCCAGAGCAGCCGCAAGGATTCTGAAGGATGCAGGATGGCATACCCGTGTCTTCCAAGTCAGCGGCCGAACTCTCCAGGATCAATGCTGGTGGAAGCGATGGATACTGATAGCGGTTCCCGCAGAAAAGCGCCTGCCTCCAGCACCTTGTCTCACGCTCGACGCGGAACCCGCTACGCCACCCTTGCACACTTACCCCACTGAATGGTTGCTGGAAGACAAAAGGGTACCAGCCGCCACCTGGAAAAATGGTCGCCTAAAGCTAGACAGCGCTATGCCGCACCTGGGTCAGGCTACCCCAAAGCCTAGAGGGACTCTGCAAACCCCCGAAGGTAGGCGTCATGTTTGGGACCCTTTTAAACCGCTCCCCCAATTACATCATGGGTCATGGGGTAATGACAACAAAGAGTCTCTTTTGTTGCTTGGGTACAGTGCTAATGGCCCCGCGGCGCGCACCATCACGCCCGGGGAGGCCTTTAGGTTGTTAGGTGGTAGGGTAGAACAACATCCCAAGGACACCCCCTCCACTGAACTTGCCTTGGGAAGGCTCATGGGTACCCCCCGCAGCCTGGCTCTAGTAGCGGGCCGTTGGGCGAGTGCTCTGGGGACGGACCGGGGCGCCAGCGGTTGTTGCTTTGAGCCCGAGCAGTCCAGCGCTGCTGAGGCGAAGGTTGAAAGTCCGGAGGCGGACGAAACTCCCGAGGCTTGCTTCGAGCCCGGGAACGCAGATTCTGAAAGAGTCGGAATTTGTTCGCTCCCGTGGGAAGATAAGGCGCGAGCGGCGCTCATGGCTTGGCTCCAAAGCAGAGGTTGGGAGGCGGAGCGAAGGACCGGAGGCACCAAACGCCGTAAGAAAAAGGAAGAGGACTGGAACATCCAGTTCTCGAAAGCCCTCGCCTCCTGCCTCAGACACGAGGCAGGAAGTGCCGAGTGCCACATCACGGAGGATGGATGGGTCACGATGGACCACCTGAGAGGGTACCCCCGTGCGAAGCTCCGATGGCCGGAAAGGTACATCACTGAGGAGGCGATTCGGGCCGAAGTGGAAGGCAACTTGAAACAGCGCTTCGTGGTGCGAACGGATGAGAGCACCGGAAGGAGCTGTGTTGCAGCCTGGTCCGGGCACACCATACCCGGGGTCGCCGGGCCAGGAGTGTTGGTCAAACCCTCCGAGGTCCCTGCCCTGCTCGTGCATGGCTCGTACCACAGGCATACGGCCAGCATTGTGCAGAATGGGCTGTCAGCAAGCCGCAGAATGATTCACTTGGTTGACCCAGAACGGGCATCAAACAAGTGGAGGGCCGACCTGGAGACGAGAGTGCCCGTCGACACACGGAAGGCCCAAGAGGCCGGAGTCTCCTTCAGAGTGACGGGTAATGACGTCTGGCTGGCCGATGCTGACATCCCGCCTGAAGCCTTGGGAAAGGTCGTCGCATGGACTACTGACGATTTTTGGTTCGCTTCGGAAAGCACTCGCGCCCGAGCCCGACCCGAGCAGGCGTCGCCAGTGCCCTTCCACAAGACAGGCACCGCGGGAGCTGCAGGCTCTGGCTCAAGGCTCCCCGCCTGGCCATCCGGCAGCCTCAAGCAGGAACAGGACCTGAAGGAGGGCCTTGCTCAGACCGCGACAGGCTTGGCGTCTGCTGTTGCCGGGCTGAAGGTGGAAGAGGGAGAAAAGGAGGTCCAGGTGGACCCACGAACCCTGGAACCAACCGTCGTCACTCTCTCCGAGGCGGATTGGAACGTATCGGAAGAGAGTGACATGGGCCCGGATGAGCCCTCAGCTCCTGCGACCCGAACAGTGAAGAAAGAAAGCGACCAAGGATCAGCCGAGGCAGAAATCAAGCTCGACCCCGGCACGACTGAGCGAGAAGAAAGGCAAGGAGTTGCCGAGGCGCGTCCCGCGCCCGGTACCACCTCTGCCGGATCGAGCTGGAAACCCACGCTGGTGAAGAAGCCTCAGGACCCAGGACCCGGTGAAGGATGCCCCAAACCAGGGCGTCTCGAACCCAAACATGAGGAGGGCGCGGAACCCGAGGGCCTCACCCTGGAACGGGTCAAACCTCCGCCCGCAGAGGAGTCAGAGGAGGACTCGCCCATCGGGCTCCCCGCAAGGTATCGGCCGGTCGGAAGAGTAGAGCCCGGGCAACCCCAGGAGGAGCGAAAACTGGTCCCGGCACAGGGTCTTAGCTTGGCACGGGAAAGGTCAAACTGCTCCAGGCCCTCGCTGAGGCCGATACTGCCAACTGGGAGAACCTCCAGAGTGCCCTGAAGGAAGCGGAAGGGTCGGGAGGCGAGAAGGCAGCACTGGTTGAAGACCTGGAACGCCTCACCCAGCAGCGAAAGGAAGCCGCCGAAGGAATCAAGGAAGCCCTTGAAGCAGAGACGCAGAGGGTTCGCCAATGTGAAGAAGAAGACTCCCGGTATCTGGAAACTCTGGATAGCCAGGGTGAGTATATGAGAAAGCTTGAACGATTCAACCCGGCTCGACCCTCCAAGACCGCCAAGGTCCTTAGTTCGGACCGTCTCACTTCGGAGATTGAAGCAGGAGTCAGCGTCTGGGTGGCGCGCCGCCGAGAAAAGGCGCGTTTGCGGGCCCAGGCTCACAGGGAAGGACTTCAGAGAGGCGCAACCTCGGAAGGAAACACCAAGCACGAACCAATCGAAACCCCCGAGGGAGCCGAAGAAGCACGTCAACAGGCGGCTCGGAGGGAGATAGCCGAGTTTCGGGAACATCTGAGGGAACAAGGCGGTGGGGCGGTACCCAAATACCGTAGGGCACCTGACTCCCGCCAACGAAAAGCCACGAAGAAGAGGAACCGAGCTGCAAAGGAAGCTGAAACTCGGGCCGCGGCAAAGGGAGCCTTGTCGCCCACGCGCAATGATGATGCAGAACGTGACACCAACCACGCGATCGCGCATTTCCATGGGCAAGAGCACGCCCATGCTGTGGTTCTCGCCGGGGCTAGGTTGCCCCCGTTTTTAGTTTCCGAGGGGACAGTTCTGCTCGGCCTCGTTCTCCTCACCGGAGTTCTTTTAGGCCTTGCCTGGGGATCCTGCCGACGCAGCCTTGCCCACAGTCCCGTACGGACTGACCCATTGGCTTCCTCGTCAAGGGGCAACCTTCCCAGAGCTCCCCACCAGCAGGAAGCTGCGACTGGCAGGCGCACTCAAACCAGTAGCGCCGCGGAGGCCCGCCGTCGCGGCAGTCGAGGCTCGACTTCGAGCCCGGCACCGGACAATCTTCGGCGAAGGAGCCCGCACCCGTCCCAAAGGGGTCTTGACCGCCGCAGAGCAAACTGGCACAAAGAAGGTTGCTCCCGCACGGGTGCTTCTACCCTTTGGCTTGAAGCTTGCAAAGACTGCGTGAGCATCTCTGAGGTCGACGACTACCAGGGGAGCGTGGAGGCCACCTGGAGCGGGGCCCGCTGGCACAAACCGCAGTGCGGGCATACCCGAGGAAGGAATGTGGTGCAATTCGCCCCTTGCCCAGAGTGTGCAAGAGTTGCCGCCCCGTCCCAGTCCCGCGGCTCGATCAGAGGCCCAAGGCGCAACAACGATGCTGAAAGGGACACGAATCATGCCATCGCGCACTGGTTCCTCCTGGCGATAGCGCTGGGCCTGTACCTGGCCGGTGTCTGCTGGCACTGGGGTGAACCTTGCGGGGGCCCACAAGAAGGACAGGAAAAGACCCGTGTGGGGGGTCCGAGGGGCCGCAAGGTTCGATTCGAACCCTACCACGAGACCCTCGCGGCAGCCGGGTCTCCCACCAGTCAAGCCACGGGTAAGAAACAGAGTATTGAGAAGCCGAGGCGGCTAGGTAGCCCTCAGGCTGCGAGGGCAGCGCAGGGGGCGACTGGACCCATGCTGGGCCTACGCTTGAAGTGCAAAGAAGATTATCACGAGGAAGCCATTCGTGTCGCCCTTGACCGCCTCGCCATCTCTACCCGGCGGACTTATGAATCTCAACTTAAGTGGTGGAGGCTTTTTTGCGCTCGTAGAGGAGTCAGTTGGATTCTCACTGGCCCCTCCAGCAATAAGACGGAAGAAACACTCCTCATCGACTTTCTCCTGCATTGTGCCTGCAATGAAGGGCGCGCACCGGGAACGCTGAAGCTTCGGCTGGCCGCAGTGCGCAGCGTCCACCTTTCACTCGGCATGGAAGATCCCTTGGAAGGCCGAGGAAGAGTTGCCATGGCACTGGCAGGCCTACGAAGGCGTTACAAGGTTCCTGAAAGGAGGGCACCAGTGACCCCCAGGATGCTCAACTATCTACATGATCGCCTCCGTGGCTCGTCTTCGAGCCCGGAGTCTGTGCTCCTGTGGGCCGGGATCTGCCTTGGGTTCTTCTTTCTGTTGAGGGCCTCTGAATTCCTTCCCCTTGGTTACCTTCCTCTTTCGAGACACCTGAAGGGCCACCAGGTACTGCTGTACTCTCATGGCAAACTGTGCACTATCAGCAACCTGGTAGAGGCCGATGAAGTTCGGGTCAAGCTCGTCGGCAGCAAGACCAAGTACAACTTGGAAACAAATCGCAATCACTACCGAACTGAAAACCAAGTTTGCCCAGTAGAATCGGTTGTCCGGCTGTTCCAGAAATTCCCAGAGAGATATCTGGGCGGTTGCGAAGCTACAGAGCCTCTCTTTAGGACTCCCTCGGGAGAGGGAGTCCAAAGGGAGGCGATCCAGATGCTGCTGAGAGAAGCCGCTTGCCAATGTGGTGTGGGTGGAACGATTGGTTCGCACTCATTACGTTTTGGTGGTGCAAGCGCGCTATGGACGGCATTTAAAGACGCATCTGTGGTGAGAAGGTTTGGACGTTGGGCGAGCGACGCTTTCCACTCCTACTTGTGGGAAGACCGGGAATATTCCCGGGGAATGGCAGCATCTATGTTGAACACTGACCTCGCACCGACGTGAAAACCCAATTTTGTGCCACGCCGGCCCTGTGTCGGCCGGGCTCGCTGCCAACAGGCCTGAGGCGCGTTTCGCGCCCGGGCAGTCGCCCTTGCATCTGCCGAAATGACGGGAGGGGGTTGAGCCCAATGGGCAAAGACCTTTTCAGCCCTTTCGCGCGCAAAAGCATGGTTGGGCGCGCAGCGGTAGTTTTGATTCTAGGGAAACCCAAAGGGTCCAAACTGTAGGAGCTTAGTGTAGCGCGCTCTAGGTTTTGACCTAAATAGGGTTTACCTTAGTTTTGGGCTCAAGGTAGCCCACCCCCCCACCCCCTGAGCCCAATGGGCAAAGACCTTTTCAGCCCTTTCGCGCGCAAAAGCATGGTTGGGCGCGCAGCGGTAGTTTTGATTCTAGGGAAACCCAAAGGGTCCAAACAAATCATTTTGGAGGTACCCTCTGGTAAACTCACAGTTTGCTATTGAAAATGGCCCAGTCGAAATAGTGGATTTACCCAGCTATCATTTCCATAGTTTTTTGGCTGTTTACATAACATTTTACCAATGGTTATGGCTAGTGTTTACCATTTCGGGTTTTCCGCCCATTTTCAGAACCCCAAAGAATGCGTCTCTGCTCCTGCGGCTCCAGGTGCTGACCAAAATCCACGACCAAGCTCCGCTTAAAGCGGAGGGATGGATCAGCGGAAGTTGACTTCACAAAAGTCGCATCGCAAAGTGCTGGTTTCACAAAATTGGGAGAGAATAACAGAAAGAAACATGGCTATATAATGCTATATACATTTGTATTCCGTTTTTGAATGAGTTCTTAAACAAACAGCAGTGGAAACGAAGGGCCCTAGGTCGAAACTTGGGAGTTAATGGAATACACTCTTGGTTATGGGCTTGGACAACGCCCGAACCCATTTTATAGGGTTTTTCGGAATCCGAAATGGGGCACCATTCCATCCACATATTTGCATATAACCACATATTTGGATTATTTGGTCATTCTCGGCATACCCTTGGTGTTTTTCTTCCATCGGCATTCAAGTGGAGCACCTTTTGTTGCCATGAGGTGATCCGAAAAAAAAATACCGCCATTGATGGTATGACGGTATGGGAGTGTCGGCGAAGTTAGCGAACAACAACAGCATCTTAAGATATCACAATTGTCTAAAATAGATACCTAAAATAGATACCTCAAATTGTCATATTTGAGATTTTAGAAACATTGATATATATGATATTACCTAAAATACCTACTGGAATGCAGTCATTGACTCACCAGCTACGCCCGCTGCAGATCGCAACACAGCATTCCATTGCGGATGAAGACCTTAAAGAACCGCAGAATTTTTTCTCTGGTGCGAGCAAGCCTCCCATGGTTCGCCACGGAGGGGATTCCCTTTTGATCCGCGGGGAAGTCCCAGTTAAACAATCGGGAACTGTTGCTGCAACTCTTGCGGAAAAACGTGGCTGAAAAATCCACTGGGACTTCTGGGGCCGCCAAAAAAATTGCTTCAACAGCTCTTGCTTTGAAAAATGCGCGGCAAAGATGATGGCAGGTCTGGCAGGTACCCTGAAACAATTGAAGCCGGGATGGGCTTTGTTTGTGAAGTGGGGCAATACCGGTGGATTGTCAACATGATGCACCAATGTGGGAACCTTTGTGGAAGCACATATATCCGCATTGAGTTCGATGTTCTCCGACATTATAAGCATGACATGCTGAGCGCCTTTGATTTGAAGGGTGCCAAAATGTGTAAAGTCACCACATTTTCAGTCTAGGTTACTTCGTAACTCTGAACAGCCAGAGTATTGGGTCAGCTTGAAGCAGAACTCGTTGCCCCATTTGGATGACCTCTCCTCATGGCTCAGATGGCTCAGTCTTGGAGCAACCAGGTGGTTGAACGGAAAGATCACCGAAGAGAACACTGGTGGTTTCCTTGAGATTTTCCCTTAGCTGGCCTTAGCTCAATCCATTGAGTTGCTGTCCGGTAGGCCCAGATGTGCCCAGTATCTCACCCCCTTCAACTCCGCTGCGCCATGATTTGTCCTGCGCTGGTTCTTGGCGTGATCCCAGCTTGGCCATGATTCCAATCCAACGTCAGCCCTGATTCCACGGAGATACAAAACCCACAGGTGCACTGGTTACTTCGAGCGCAAATGGGGACCCAATGGAGCACCCAAGCACTTCTCCCTTACAGCACTTGTGCCCATCCAAATTCTTCATATTATCAACATCCATGCAACAACCCCCAAAAGATGAAAACATACTACAATCCTAGTAAGATCTTGATAAACTCATGGCCTCGTCGATTTGTTTTTTGCGCATGCCATTGGAAACTTTCTGCAGGTGCCCACGACGCTTCGATTACCTGGGGCTCGCTTGGTGCGTGGACCGTGTTGAAGGCTGGATCTTTCGATATTGGTTAATTGGACAGTTGCTGAATAGATGATATAGCCATATATAGCCAGCTGAATACTTTCGAACTATGAGGATTAGCTTGGCGTCCTGAGAAAAACGTGGTTCCTTTCTGACCCTTGGCATTTCTCTCGCGGTATTTGATAGACCAGTTCTAGAGCTTTGGGCAGCACGAGCTCTGGCACTTTGCAGCTCCAGAGATTTTGGGCAATTTCACAAAACAGCACTGCCTTTGGCGCCTTAATGGATGCTTTTAAGGGATTCTGATGTGTGCAATTCTGGTATAGTCTTGCCCGTAATGTCGCCTTCAAACCAAAAGGGACTGAACAGTGTCATCGTTGTAGGTGGTGCCGCACTTGTGCTTTACTTCGCATGACACAGCCAAGTTCCTTGCAGTTGAGGAGCAACAGAAGGAACCTGACGTTGGAGCCGTGGATCGTTTGCCGATCTTAGATGAACGTTCTTTGTGCACCTCAGGCGCGGGCACCGCAGTGGCTGCGATCTGGCCCGTTTGATGATTTATTGGGGATTGCCCCACGTTTGGTTCTTACTGACGACACCTTTTCCAAACAGATTTTCACGACACGTTTCTCAGTTCCACGTTTCTCAACACCACTGGTGCACTTCTAGCATTCATGAATTTTCCAGATGAGATTGCTGTGGTGCTCTACCAACAGTCCCCCAGCATCGCCTCCTCGAAATCCCATGTTTTCTAAATTACAATTTTTCTGTTTGAATTGCTGGGGTATCTTCAGTTTTGGGACAAACCCAAAATGAGAAAATTGACTACACGACTTGCCACTGGTGCTGGCAGGTTGTACCAGTGGCCGAGATGGCTTACAGAGTCACCAACTCTGCCAGTTGAGATCTCGCTGGACCCTTGGTAGAAAAGTCTTTGGTGATCGATCAAGCCTGAAGAAACCCCCAAACCCTAAGCCAACCCGGAATAAAAAAGGAACAA